GATGGTTAATGACACGACAACTTTGTAATACTCATAGTGCTGATATAGTCGGAACCAGTGGATACACAATAGAAGGAATATAGTAAAGTACAAAAAAGGAAGCCAATGTTAATATTTCAGGTAGCTAAGTAAGTTTGAAGAAGGAGTTCACTAAAGAATACGAAATAAGAGAGAAATAAAAGAGTATGAATTTATGTTGTTAATAACAAAGCAAGTCACAGGTTTCACGCTTAACATTGTCTCTGTCGCTTAGAACACGGGCCAAGTATGGTATCGTTGAGTTCCTGTACTTGGTTGTACGAGCATAGATTCTTTTATACTGATTTCTGGTTTTACTTGATGAGATACAAGGCGAGAGTTGGGAATAGAGGGGGTGTTGGGGGTTTGAGAGTATGGTTTTAGACCATTTTTCACATGTATTCAGATGCCTATCAACTAAGGTAGTCACGAGCTGGCTGAGATTAACACCACTAGTCCTACTAACTACTGTCAACATCCTTCTCAGGATGGAATAGTCCTTTTTCAGTAGACCAGGAAAGACTAACGGGGAGCAGTAAAGTAAAATAGGTAGGATACAAGAGTTGACAAATTGTGAAAGTAGAGGTTGGGTGATTCCGGATTGTCTAAGTTTCCTAATGTAGTAGGTAAGACAGAACACTTTCCTAGAAATCATTAGGATATGAGATGTCCAAGTAAGGTCAGAGGATATAACTAGACCGAGGTATTTTGCATTAGACTTAGTTTCAATTTTTGTCCCCTCAATGCAACAGTCTTCATGAGAACTTACTTATTGCTTTGTCTAAATAATAAATTGTCTTAACAGCAAAAGGAATATTTCCAGATATGTCATTAGAATTGTAAATTTGTTTAGATGACGAATTACGTAATATAGAAAGCATTAATCGGTTAGAAACTAAAATCAAATCAAATAAGTAAGTTGAGTAGCGCAATCTTATTGACAGGGTTGAGTGGAATTCAACTAAAATTGGACGAGAGTCAAGTTAGCAACAGTGATAATAAAGGGTAGAAATTTAAAAGGGGGAGGGGGAAGAAAACAATACCATTGAGAAGCAAACAAGCAAAAAAAAATACGCAATTGGTGTTAATATGCGTCAGGTTCACTGTGTATTTAATGATTGAACAAACTTCTTTTGTATGCAGAGTTCAGGTTTTAACATGTGAATGGCCATTGCTTTTGCGGTTTGAAGAGGATTAACTCGTCGCGTTTTTTTTGCGAGATTCTCACGTATTCTGTGAATAACTCTGAAGTTGTTTTGTGGGTTAGCTTAGTGTTCAGATTCAATCTGGTTTTCAAGGATACAGCCATGGAGGTGTGTGTGGGGGGATCTTTTCCTCCTTTATAAAAGCCCGACTGTGGGTAAGTGTTTAATGATACTTTTGGTTAGCAAACGCTGGGTACGGCAGACATAGGATATGCAAGGGACTTGATCTATCTTAACACCCAAAATGTAATTTTTGCTTTTTGCGTTTCTTAATTGTATTATTTTCTCTCCCGCCACCACCACCACATCCTATTAAATCTCTACCTCTTATTACCACTGTTTTCAATTTGACTCTCATTCAAATGTTTGTTGAATTCTACTCAACCTCGTGAGTTAGATGACGTCAATCAACTTACCTATTTGATTTTATTTTAGTTTCGAACCAATTAACGCTTTCTGCATTACGTTGTTATCTTGAAAAAATTTACAATCCTGTTGATAAATCTTTTGAAATATTCCCAATGTTGCTAAGGTAATTTACTGTATAGATGAGGTTGTACAGCTTGACAATGATATCTCCGAAAGGAGGAGTGTAACTCTTCTCTGAACGCCTTTTCTTTTAGATGGCTCACTTGGGATGTCTGGCTTAGTTGACGTTTGTTCATTGATGAAAGTCACTGTATACGGATAAGTGGCAAAATGTGAAAAATTTGGTTGGCATGTGACACTAAGTGGGTGCTGCTCTTGGATTCCAAGTGACTTAAACAGCACATCGTCATTTCATTGTCCTCGCTAGTCATTTTTAGGCTGACTCCAAGATTACTCACAAAGCTTTCATTTCTTTCCTTCATATGATTTGCTGAAAGTCACCCTTAGACTAAAAACTCATTGTTTCGCATTCGCGTTCCACTCGATGGCCTGGTGCACGATGTCACTATCACACTGTAGAAAATTACCTCTTCAATTAACTCTACAATGCTGCATACACTTGATGTTATACTGAAATAATTATCAGGGTACCTCGTACAGTGTTCACATATAACCAAAGAAGAAATCACCAGTTCCACTTTACTCAATTTCATCTCTAACAAAAGAGGACTAAATTCTTCTATTCCTCTGTCTCTTTTTTCAAAAGCTATATCAAAATCTAGGTGATAGTTTTTCAGGGAAGGTAAAAGTTTCAGAAGTACTGAAGAAAAATGATTGGTGGTTGGTGATCATCCATTTAGCAAAATCAATAAATCTGTAGCACCTTAACGAAACATTTTCAAATTTCTTCATTAACCGACTATGCTCTTCTTTACACAATGTACACACAGGTTGATCTCAACCCAGCAGTTTCATACAAACATCCTACTGTGTCGAAAAAGTCATTACCACTCAATGTTATCTCCCTGCGTGGAATTGCGTGTTTATTAAGCTGCTAATGGCTATTTTTATTGACATACACCCAAACACTGATTTGTGTAACGTGTATGCAGGAGGATTATAGATAGTAATCTTATTTGCGTCTGTTCTATAGCGCGTCTGTATAAATACAAACTGTTGCCTAATTATAAAGGCGTATTAATTTGAATACGTCCGAATCAAGTTCACTTTTGACTGTTTGAAAAACTGTGGCCATTGGGTATTTGTGTGACATTCATTATTATTAAAAGTTCTTTTTGTATTTCCCAGTGTAAATGAAAAACAAAACGATATCGTTGCTTTTACTGATGTTTCGCAATTGAATGCTGCTACTAATAGCTTTATCAAATTAGTAGTATTAGTAAACCAGAATTCCACTCAGCTTGCATTATATAGCAACTTAATGATTTTTCATCAGCATGCGGTAATTTTTACGTTGTTGTCAAGTTGGCTAATCGGTAAAGATAACAAAATCAGGTGTAGAATGTTAGATCTCATAAGTGTATAAGATTATTAAAGTAGTGTGTTTATATAACGAAATTTATTATCACATTCACGTTGATACGAAATGCTTCTGATGATATAGACGTTCTTTGTGATTTCTGAAATTTTCCTGGATTATTTCAATATTGTCAAAATCAATTATGTGGCCTGATTCTATAGCGTAGTGTGTACACTATTTATGGCTGATGATTTTTCAAGCTTTTTACTTCAACTGAATTTCTCAGTGGTCGAAAAGACACTCTACGGTGTTCGCTTCCTCTGATTACCTTGATTTCTCTCCGGTGAGGTTTGTCCGACATATATCGCATCACATTGCCAGCACCTTATTTTCTAGACATATTTGGATTGATAGTGCTTGGGGATT